CAAAGTCCTGCTTCCAACGCCTTTCCCTTAGTTTCCCGCAACGTGCATCCAAATTCCTCTTAGTAGGCTCCCATTGCTACAATAACTTGGACATCTTCACTCGATGCATCAACCCTCCCCATCCCTATAACTCTTATCCCACCCCTATGAATATGTTGGCGTCAAAGCTCATCTCCTTCAGCCTCACATTTGCCGCCACTTTCACTTATTAGTGGAGCTTGTCTATAACCCTTCTAGCTTCATCATTTGTTGTTGGTTTCGGTTTTTCATATTTTTTCTAGAAATCAAGAGGAAGGTGGTGAATTCTTGTTTAAAAGCTTATTAATATAGTTTATGTGGATGAGAGTAATATGTTAAATATGAGCTAGTTCATCTCTCTGTTCATATTTTGCATAATACAAAGTCATGGTAAGAATATTTCTATTAAAATGATATGATGTGCAAAAGCTTACGCTTTTGCTCTTTCGCTTTTACCCATCATTTCGCTTTTACCTAGAAGCTAGACTTTGACTGCATTGAATGTTTTCTTGTGGAAGACGATCCAAGTGAAGACACAAATCCTATTAGGAACGACCAATTGCTATATCACCTTCCATGGGAAATCAACCAAACCTGGGAATTTTTCCCTTGCCAACTGATCATATGCAGAGCAAACAGAGAAACAACACTAGGTTCGGGGCTCCAAATGATTCTTCCCGGATCTGTAGAGAAATCAGATAAAGACATACTATCCAGAAGCAACATTAGATTATTCTTTTCTCTCCGCCCCTCCCCGAAGAGTATATTTCAAAAGGAACTCCGAATTGACACGCTCACCATAAATACGGAGGATATATGCAACTCTCGTTGTCGAAAAAACTGCAGCAGCCGCCACTCACGGGAAGTCCTCAGCAAAACAACGACTAGTGATGGAACATTTGAACCCGCCCCGCGGGTATTATCCGACCTGACCCTTGATGGGCCAGGTATTACCCGACCTTCAGTAGCATGAGACGGGGCATGGGTACCTATTTTCGACCCTTGATGGGCCTTGTCAGCTTTACTATTATTTATATATTTATTTATTTTTAAAATAATTTTTTTTAAATATTTATGACTATTAACGTACTATTAAATGTAACATAAGCTTAGAGACAAAGTAAACTACTCGTACGTATTTTATACGTAACTTTCCCATATTGTATTTTACTAACTATGCCCCGTAGAGGGCAGATATCACCCCTCCCCCCCCCCCCCCCCGGCGCTGTAGCATGGGGCGGAGCATGGGTATTTGAGTACCTGTCCCGCCCCGCCCCATTGCCATCATTAACAACGACCTTTCATCCAAAAAGCGAACCAAAAATGATGTCCACGCTCCCCGTCCTTGATCAACATGTGCGAATTTAAGAACTTCTTAAGCTTCGAGATGCTTGGCCAAGGACTGCAACCCAAATCTCCTCGACATCCAATCCGAGTTCATACACGAGATCTTAACTCCAAATGCTTTGCTATTCCCCACCCTACTTGTACTAATCATCGCCCTAGATTGGTATATAGAAAGTCCTAAACGCCCATAATGAATATCATATTCTCATAACAAAAATATCATATTCTCAAAACATAGATAACATAAATATCAAATTCATTAAGAGCATTTAGGACGATGATTAGTAAAAAGTAGGGCGGTGAATAACAATCCTCAATTTCAATTAGTTCCCTCCACCAGGAGTGTTTTTCGAGAGCAAACCTCCACCACCATTTGGTTCTGGATGTCAAGATCTCTAATGCCCAAAACCGCCTAATCGTCTTACTTTTTAATCTTGTTTTTTGGGAATAGTTCTTTCAGGTGGATATTGATCCCCCATCTCACTACAAAAAAAATGATCTATGGCAAGGGTTATTTTCACTTATACCAAGGGTTTTAACCCTTGCTACAAGATTTAGCAAGGGTTTTGTCAACCCTTGTATCAACCCCTGTAGCAAGGGTTTTTAGCAACCCTAGGTGCAAGTCCCATGCAAGAGTTATAGCAAGGGTTTGAACCGCTGATACATGTAGCAAGGGTTAAAACCCTTGCTAAAACATTGTGTAAATTTAAGTGGAGACATGTTTGATAGCATGGATTAGAACCCTTGGATAAATACGTTGCAAACACTAGCTAGGGATAGAACCCTTGCTACAAGTCTAACATGTGAAAGCAAAGTCAACATTTAGCAAGCAACTGTTAACCATCGTTAAATAGTGGTTGCTAAAGAGAAACGAGAACCAGAAGCTCAGCTTGGTTACACTATGTTTTGGTCACTATAGACAACGCTGAACCAAATACCAATTTTTTTATTAATAACCAAATTCATTACATGCACTGTACCAGTCAAAAGTTCATCATTCATACCATAAACATAATATGATTCACGATCCGAAATAATATTATTTACATGGCTACACGTTAATTACCAAAAACATTAAAATAAAATCCAAAGAAGCATTCATATCAAGAAGCTTGAGAGCCCAAAAACGGAGCAAGAGCACTATTTGCACCCTGTTCATAAGAGAAAAGCAAAGAAGTACGAACAATATAAGATAACAATTGTTGACTATGCAGCCACATTCATAATCTAAATATGCTTCTTCGATGTCAGTCTATAAGGAAATCATATTCTGAAGTACAAAGACGTACCATGAATTGATTTTGATTCTGTAAGCGGCGAAGTTCCACTAAAAGACTGTAACAAAGCTTAGGGGTGGGCAACGGGGCGGGACGGGATACCCGTCCCGTTTTAAACGGGTACCCAGTCCCATTTGGAGACCAAAGTCCATCCCATATCCCAAACTCATATGGGAAACGGGTACCCATTACCCGTACGGGACGGATAACGGGTACCCATACTACCCATAAATACCCAAAGTTTAAATGGCATCACATTGCATATCTTTATTATAACATGCTCTTGCAGGGAATAATAAGAACACGATATGATCAAAAAACATAAATTCAATCTCTATATACACAAGCATTCATTTCAAAACATGTCCCTAAAACCAGATGACGTTTTAGCTAAAGACAATTACATCTCAAACCCACTACATAAACATGTATTAGAAGAGAAATAACGGTGGGAGCAAAAGTTCGGAGTAGGCAGCTATTCTAATACATTCCACAAAGAAAACATGTATTAGCATAGCAAAAGTTTGGAATGGCTGCTGTCGCCATTCTCCCTTCTGCAGGTTGCTGTCCTTCACCTGCTGCTGTCCTGCAAAGAAGAATAATTACAATAAAAAGTTATTGCAACTAATCAATCACTATCCAGCCGTGTGCATGCATTATAGAAGATTAACTGTCACCTTGATTTGAGCTTTAGCAAGTTGGGGGTTTTGTGATTAGAGGCTTTGTAATTTGAATGGGTACAACGGGTACCCATATTACCCAAACGGGTATTCGCGGGTAACCCGCGGGTACCCATATTAGGAATGTACAATCCCAAGTCCCATCCGTTTATAATATTACGGGTAATATGGGTACCCGTAACCCTTAAAAAACGGGACGGGTACGGGTATACCCAAACACCCGTTTCCCGTTGCCCACCCCTAACAAAGCTTGCTTGACTCAATTTGCCCCAATAAACCATACCAGATATCTGGCTACACTGTAGCCAGATATCTGGTATGGTTTATTGGGGCATATTGAGTCAAGCAAGCTTTGTTAGGGGTGGGCAACGGGTGTTTGGGTATAGCAAGTAGATATATCTTCACCACAAGCAGGTCCTACCCTGTACCCAGCAATAGAATCAATGCCTCATAGCAAAACTTCAATACATCATCCTAAAGTATAAAAAACCAATTTACCTGAAGTTAATGATACATACGAAACACAGCTGCACAACATGTAATAGGAATGATATATGAAACCTGCTCCATGAAAAATCAAAATTGGAAGTTTACTAAGTAAGCTTTAATTGACTTGGCCACTTAGAATCAATGTTGGAAGTTAACTAAGTAAGCTTTAATTGACTTGGAAGATGAGCTGACTGCAAAATTTAAGCATCAACTTGGAAGTAATTATAGCTTCTACTGACCTGTAGCTGCAGATAAGTGCAACGATCGAGTACTGTTCCTATCATTCTATCAAAGAAAAGAATCCCCTGCAAGTGAAACCATCTCAACCAATAGATTCATACTTAACGATTTTCCAACCTGCAATGTGTATAAACAATGAAGATGTAACCAACTGCCTTCTGAAATGACAGAAAAAAAAAGGATACAAAAATGTTGTAATATAAGACAAACATGCTCTTAAGAGTTAGGATTCTTCCTAGCACTTGGACCCATCACCCTTTGGTGATTGTTGTGCATAACTTTTTCGGCAATACCTTCCACCCCATCATGAATTTTTAGTTCAACAATGGATCCTAGCTCTTCTGCACAAATCTGAAAGCCAGCTTCTTTTACATCCTGAGATAATGTGTAGTCACTGGACAAGCTTAAACCTGCAAGCATATATGATAAGAAGACATTGAACCCCGAACATGGAAGAACTTAGAAAACTTAAGAATTCAGAGGAATGTTTAACAGGGTCTCACCCTAAATGAACTGAAGCGCAGCTTTTCAAACCAAACCTGCAACTCTCAGCTTCGCCTACAGTATTAACACAACAAAGAAAGAGTAAAAAAACTGAAAAGAGCAGAGATCCACTTCGGCAGTTAGTTAATTATAGACTTGCGTTCTATGATAGAGGGGAATTTGGAAGCCAATTCTGTCCAAAGAAAGGCTCTAGAGATAGACTATATGCAGAGATAAAAAAAAATTGGCATAGGAAATATATACCTATGCCAATCACCATGATATGAAGATACCTCAATCGGCTTCTTTATGGTAACCCCATCAGCCCATCTATACTCATATCTGTAACAGAAATTAGAAAGAGCATTAAGACACAAAAATATAGAGAAAGCAAAACAAATTAACTATGGATAATGTCCAATCATAATACAACTGAGATATGCTACAATTAAACAAAAAACGGAATTCACATAGTGGGATCAAAGAAACGACATATATACCTTCTAGAAGCATTGGCATAGGAAATATGTAATGTGAGGAGATAGACTATCAGGTATTGAGGGATGATCATCCTGAAAGAATGAAGCAAACAAAAGAAAAAAGAAATGTCACTAAAGCTCGAAGACATAAACATGCAAACTACCACAGTTTGTAGCCAATATCACATGTCCCATTAAAGTCAAAACTCAATAGTAAACATTACTTTGGAGAGGACACAATCAATCTTAATAATTATACAAAAGAGCATAGAAGGGTGACAAACTCGTAGGTACATTAAAGGGTAACAAGAGATTAAAGCTGCAATATCTTGTTCATATCAAGAACAAGGCATACCTGCATAATACGAAATAGAGCCAGCATAGGCTGGAAATCATATTAGGGAGGTACACAAATAAGAAGTTCAATCATAGTACACCAAACACCTGCACAAACCCATGATATTTCTGTAACCTGCAAAATACAGCCAATTCATATGAATTTATGAACCATGAAAGTAAACTTTCCCATCATAACCTCAACCGTTAGCTGTAACTTCAGAGCCATTTTATGAGCCATTTTGGGCAATGAAGGAAACCAAAATGTTAATGATCTTGTTTGTCGAAATTGAATCAGATTACACATAGATTCAATCGGGCTCACTTGTCATTTTGATATAATTCTATCCAAGGCGTGATTGATATATCTTTAGACACCCTATGAAGAGATTAGCAAAAAGCAATAGTTTCATTCAAATGAGTCACTCGAACTTCAGAATTCAAGAGTCTAAAAATCCTACATAATACAATTGAAACTACAAAACTTAAGATATAAGAAGATATAATTGCAAGAGCAGAGTATACCAATAAACTAAGAGAGTGAGAGACAGAGTACGACTGAATGCAAGAATGGCAGTGCTGGAATGCATACAGCCAGCGGCGGCGACCAAGAAGCAAAAGCACGAGGCGAAGATCTCTCAGTCCTGGAATGCATGCAGCCAACGGCGACGATGACACTACAATCCTAGGAGAGTGAGCGAGCGAACGGCGATGACACTATAACCTAATTGGAGTTCGCTCCCGAAAGAGAGAGAGAGAGCGCGCACAATGGAGAGAGTGCGATGTAGAGAGAGTGAGAGAGACAAGGAAATCAGAGTATCAGACCTTTCCACCGGAGAATCGTATCGGAGCGAGTGAAGGAGACCGAAATCGACTTCAGCCGGAGCGATTGAGGTGGGAGACCGGAGATCGCAGTGAGGGAGTACGGAGCGATTTTCAATCCTCTACGGCGGAATCCCTCAACAAACCGGGACCAAAAAGAAGACAAAAATTAGATTTGTTTGCTTTCAATTTTGAACTATCAGTTTTGGGTTCTGACACGCCAAAACACAACACCAAACTGCGACCAAGTGTAATCGCAGTCCGGGAATGCAGTAACATGCAAGTTATATTATCAACCCGGGGTCTAGATCTACTGCTTACTCCGTGATTCTCTATTATCTAGCAAACTAGTTCGAGTGATTGTTGTTAAAAGTAAAAGCAACAAGAAAGCAGTAAATTGTTCGGTTTTCTAAAGCAGGCAAGAGTCACTCGGGATTGAGTCCCCCTAGCCCCTTAGTTAGGTTCAATTGTAATTCCCTGGGTTGATTTACTGTTGATTAGACTGCGGAAGATCCGACAGTAGCTTGGAATCTCTTAAGCTGACCAAGCCCTCTCAGTCTAACTACCCGGCAGGCGACTAGTCTTCACCGGGATAGAAAGCTGAGGCTATGAACACAGAACTCCACTACTGGCGCTAAGAACACCAGTACAAAGCAGTAAACTGGCTAACTCTCGTATAGCCAATCTCCTACTAACGAATCAAGGAAGCTCTCTTAACCTAATCAGATTCTATATATCTCAGGTTGCAGCAGAAATTGAGAAAAGCTGATCAGACTCCAATCAATTCAATAAACATGCGTCATTCGATTAAAATCAAACAGTAATATCATCCCAAGTCATTACAATCAAATCCCTAACACAAGGAACTAGGGTTCTTCATACCCAAGTGAGAGAAAGGTTCTACTCCATAGAGAGAGAAGAGAAAACAAGAATCGGATTAGTCATACTCATAACAATGAGGATAATCTGCTCCGGGACGATGATTTCCACTCCTATGACGATCTCCAAGCTCGATTCGATGAAATCCAGCTCTAAGACAGCTTCTAGGGTGTGTTCTTCGTACTTTCTCTCTCTAGGGCGCAATAGAATAGCACGAGTGAATGGGTGATGGCGACAGTTGGATGGATGGCTACGGGAAGATGAGGAGGCGACGATGGCCACAGAAGTGACAATCCGGCGTTGAAGGGTTTTGAGATAATAACGACGGACTGTCGGTGAGAGAGGAAGATGAAGTTTCACCGGCGAAATCATACTCCTCCCTGGAGCGACGATGGGGTGAAGTTTACTGACGAGTGGTCGAAGGCGGAAGGAGAGGATGAAGGGCCAAGTTGGAACAAGAAAAAAAAAATGAGAGATTTCAAAATAGCTGCCCTCCATTAGCTATTTTGAAATCCCACATATGTGGGTTTTTAGAATCTCTAATGACCACAATTCTTGATCTTTCCAAACGTGTTATTTGATTAAAATCTCTCATGATGCAGGATTGTTTTAAAATCCTGCACCACAATCCTACAACAATACCTCATCCAAACGACCCCTTAGTATAAAGCTAGCGAGGGTTTCGAACCCCTAAAACAAACAGCTGCTACAACTAATTCCGAAAAAATTAGTAGAGGTTTAGTAACCCTTGCTACTAAACCCTCGGGATTGGTACCTTTTCTTGTACTGTCTGGTCCACTAGTTTGGTTTTTTTACTCCTTGTTCACTGAGTTTTCTCATCATTAGGGCCTTATAAGACTTGATGATTTCTTTGTCTTCATCTTCCATAGTTCTCTTCTGAGGTGTAAGCTGGTTCTGTTGTGGTGATACTTTCTGTTGCTTGTGCATCTGTTCTTTCTTTTTCCACATTTTTATTTTCATTGTTTGGTTTTTTCTTATTTCCATGCTTCCCATAGAGAAGCTGTTATTCTCATAATGGAAATCTGTCATACCTGACCCGTATGTTCCCTAGTTATTTAGGTGATCCATGTAATTTAACCCCTTCTTTTGTTATATTTCCCTTCATTTTATGCTTTCTCCTTCAACTTATCCAAGGTCCATTGACCTTTATCAGCTACCTCCCAAAAAATTCATACTTGCTCTACTGAGCCTTTCCTTGGCTCCTTCATGTACTTGACTAATGAAAATTTAGTCTTATATGCTATCTGATCCATCTCTTTGAACGATTTGTACCCCTATCTCTTCTTTATCCTTTCCAAATTATCAATCCTCAGTGGTCTACCATTGAATTGGCCTCTTCTCTTCTAGCTTTTTTCAGTAAGATATTCTCAATCATATTTTGCCCTAATGGTTGTCTAGATCTCACTCTGTTCTTCCTTCTCAAGTTCGGATCTCCATGGTTTATTTTTTAGTGGTCCTACCCTTAGTTGTGTGGTTGGTGCAAGCTAGTTTGGGATGTTCCACTAGTTCGCAATTGAAACCGTAGATAGGTAGCTTATCGTACTTAAATTAATAAAATCAGCAATCTCATCTTTTATGTTCACATTTAGTTTTGGTTTAATTTCTATTCTGATAACCTTTTCTATGCGCAGCCTAAGGAAATCGTCCTAGATACAATCACTTCTGTTATCAACCCATACAAGTTTGCCTAGCCTTGCTCCAATCTTGTGAGCCATCTCTGTAGTTTGCAAAGCAACCGGTAAGAGAAGTATACTATCCCATATGTCCACGATAACGAAATCCTCTGCTTTGGCTAGCGAAAAAGATCTGCAGTCTTGAAAGTTAACAGATTGTTCTCATAGTGCCATGACCCTCCATACATGACTATCTCTATCACTTCTTTCCATGACTTGGAAAGCAAACATCTGATCACCAAACTCCGTAATTTGAGGATTTACTCAACGCTATCTTCATTGAATTTGTGTTCAAGGGTTATAGAGCTATTAATCTCCTCACAAGGCCTAGCAAACTCAGTGCTCGGGCCATAATCGAATCATAATCCTTCTCCTCTATCAACAATGACTCTTCATCCTCAATTGTTACTTTATGTATTTGTGTAGCCAATCCCTCCGCTGTGGTTGTGTTTGTCTCCTCCGTGTCTTTGACAACAACAATAATACCAGACAAAGGTTCCTGTTGAACAACCTCCCTACTCCCTGCTCAAGTTCTGAATGCCTTAGTCTGATGCAACCATAATTTTTACGGTTGGTGTATCCTTGTTTTCCATTTAAGACTAATATGCAAAGAAAAATTTGTATTTGTACTACGGTTAAAAAAGATCGTTCGCTTACCCTAATCGCAGGAGGCTTATTAGGGTTTCAAATTATTTTATCGAAAAAAACAAGAAAAATGAAAAGCGAGACCCTTTGATTAAGATGATGACACCTTACCGCAAGAAACTCTCACTCCTCTCCCTCTTATCGCTTAAGGAAATAAGAGGCTAACACTAGCTTGGCGGGTAAGAAAAGCAAAAAGGCTCTCAGTTGCAAAGAAACTCGTAGTTGAAACTCTTCTAAAGAAAAACTAACGAGAATAAAACTATAAAAGCTTTATAGGTCCCAAATCCGTGAAAAAAAGTACCCATGTGAGAAATGATTCCTTCTCCAAACCAAAGAAAAACCTACAATCACTTGTCAGCTCAAAACCTTAAATGAACTACAAAACCTAGATTAGGTTTCTATTTCGCTGCTCTCGACAGATGAGAGGAAAAAATTGTTACCTATCTTGTAGTATCTATCTACTTCACGATCCTTCCATAAGGAAAGCTCTAGAACATAGATATGTTCAGGGCAATGGAAACTTGATGTGCTCATTGGAGGGAGCAACCACGAATCTATACAGAAGTGACATATTTCTTCCATTATTTTTAAAGTTCAATTGTTCACAACCAATAGAATTCGTGGACACTAACAAAACCTTTAAACAAAACAGCACTTAACACTTTCGTTTCCTCTTTTGCCTAAGTACTTCAAATTATACAAATTTCACAAGAAAATCTATCTAGATAATAAATAAAAGCCGAATGATGAAAACTGTTGCTCCATTTCAAATTTCCTGCAACGAGAGTGATTATAGGAAGGATATTTTGGTCTTCACAATTGCTTATTTTCTTATTTATTTATTCATAAAAAAGGCATGCACTGGGATTTGAACCTTGGTCTCTTTAAAGGCAAGCAAGGATCATAACCAATCACATTAAGTATATTTGTTGTATCTATTTAAATTCAAACATACACGAACCTAAATTATGAAAATCATATGACTTTTTTAACGATTAGTTGGCCACTGAATCTCCCGTA